CCTGAGCTGGGACTGGTCCCGCCGGCGCAGGGTAGCAGGAAACTCTCCGCACACTCACCAGACCTGGGCTAGGACTGGGTCTCCATTATGTATTATTTCACCCAAAAGATGTGTTGTGACACAACAATATTTGAATTCATGAATTCTCTAAAATATGAGTTTATCAGTATTTGAAGGAACTTCATAAGTGTCCCCAAATAACCAACTGTGGTGGTACATGTGTGTAACCCAGCACCCTGGAGGCAAGAGGATTGCAGGTTCACACCCTGCCTTGGCAATTTAATGGCTTACTGAGGCCCCATCTCATTTTTTTAGAAGAGCTAAGAGGTAGCTTAGTACAAATGCCCTACATTCAATCCTCAGTAACTAACACACACACACACATACACACACACACACACTTAAAATCCTTAGTAACACACACACACACACACACACACACTTAAAATGGCACGTGTCTCAGGAAAAACAAGTGGCTTTGGTATCTCTTAGAGATAATTTATAGAGAGACAATGCCTTGAAATATTTATATTTGAGCCTCACTTTTCAACCCTCAGGTATGACATTTCTTCTATCTCATCAAATATATTGCCTCGCAATGAGGTCACACTGTAATATCGACAAAAACATTTTTGTATGCAAGAAAATCCAAAATATATTCTTAAAGAATGAAAGATTGAGTGATGTATAAAGGAGAGTTTTCCCAGAGCAGTAAGAAGGGGACAGAGGAAAAGCAGACTCCCTACCACGCCAAGGCCAAGGCTCTTGAGGAAGCTGCACTGGGCTAAGGAAGGTGGAGCTGCAAGGCCAGACCAAGGCCAGCAGCGGCATCCAAGGTGCAGAGGAGAAACATAGATACAGCCCACAGATGGAGCTGGGAAAGGGGCCGAGCCTGCAGGAAACACCGTGGTGCTCCGTCCATCCAGTCCCCAAGACCAGGAGAGCGCAAGGAGGCCGAGTTTCTCTTTCTGCCTTGCCAGGGGCTGCTGTCCATCTCCACTGGAGAGAAACATCTGGGGGTGATGATCCCATTGGTGGGTGCGAGCTGTCCACAGGAGCGGATCACATGTTGGACTGTGATGCCAAGACTTAGATGAGCCCCACCTAAATAATTCTGGGAGACAGTGCCCTCCTCACACCATCCCTACCCCAAACCAAAGGCAAAGGTCTTTGACAACAAGAAAACTACCTTAATATTTTTTTCAGTGCAGGAGTTTGAGACTAGTTGGGATTTTTTGTCTTGTTTTTGTTTTCCTCATATTTCCTATTTTGAGACAAGGTCTCGCAAAGTCACTCCAACTTGCGATCCGCCTGCCAAATGTCCCAGAATGCCAGGGTTACAGGTATACACCGCCATGCCTGACACTTAACTTTTGGACACAAAAATTAGAAAGGAAAGTTAGGTCTAGAACCACAGAGTACACTTAGTTCTCCCTGGAAATAGAAGAAAAGGAAGGAAGAATTTCTAGAATCCCTGCCCCAGCCCCCTCTCCCGTATCTTTTTTTTAAAAATATTTATTTATTTTTATTTATTACATTTATTTATTGTGTGTGTGTGTGGCCAGCTCAGCCCACCAGGGGGCGGGTCTGGCTGG